TAGAAATTCTGCAAAATAGGCGTCCGAACTAGGCCTTCGGGCCTACTCCCGGACATATAGCGAAAAATATGCAAAAAAAAAAMGGTTCCACGGGTTCTTTGAAATATACATATTTGAGGTTTCGGTATTTACAACATGACTTTTTTTAGTATAAAAAAATTTACAAGATATTATTATAAATAAATTTGATGACATTATAATATTGGTTGGTACTTCTCTCAAATTAATGCTATTTAGACGGCGTATGCTACTTTCTAAAATCAAGACTTAATTATTAATGTATAATACAGACCTCTACGTATATTTATTTTAGTCGAACTAGTTGAAGAGCATATTTTTATTTTCGGATTTTATTATCAGTTTATTAAATTTTAATAGTGTGAGGATTGGGAATAATTGCCATATTTTATCATCAATCACGCGTCATGACGAAAGGAATCAAATAAAAAAAAAATGTTATTTTTATGAAAGAAATTAATATAACCAAATATAACCCATAAGAAAATTAATAAATCGTACTCCTAAAATAATGGATTGGATTTTGCTTCTTTAAACACAATTCATTAACTTCACTTTGGTTTTTATATTCAATAACGAAATGGTTGAATGACTCTATTCTGAAATCAAAAAATGTTGAACTTATTGCATGACGTGGATTATTACCCTTGTTGGGTAATTGTGTATTATACTCACATATAAGTATGTAGTTATAATCTTATTATTATTATTATATTGTTTGGAGTAGTTATAATGTTTGTCGATAGTTCTTTTACTTCTTAACATAATCCTCTATAGCACCTGGAATTCTGATGAATGCGTTGTGTGTGTGTGTGTGAATTGTATTTGATTAACTATTTGCTGTGATCGTCTCGAATTGATGTAATTAATACAATATCTATTGTTTGCACAGATACCGGAAGTGTTCGAGACTACCTGCTTGGAGGCCACCAATGAGTCCAAATGGTTGTGGAAAGAGTCGTAAACGAGCCAAAAGCGTGGAAGATCTACTAGAGACCACTGCCCAACCGGATTCGCGATTACAGGTGCAGGCTCAAATGAAAAAGGCAAAAAGTTTGGAAGAGTATCTGGACACATGCGAAGAAGACGCCGAGGACAGTTGTAGCGTCTCGGCGTCCGTCAGTGACAGCATAAAGAAGAAAAACTTCGTCAACAAGTGTATAAACAAAATGAAATCATTTATAACGGCCACCAAAAAGACTTCAATGGACTCAAAATAACGAATATTTAATATTTCGATATTTTTATGATAATATAGTGCATTATAGTGTATATATATTTTTTTATGTATATTGTAATTATTTT